TCCTCAAAACCCTGAATATGGAAAACAAAGAAATAAACAAACAAACGAGTAAAAACGCATAGCCACACACACACACACACGAACACACCCTCTGCCCCCAATGGTTGTGGCCAGCATGTTTGCACACCCTCGTGCACAACACGGGTCCATAGGTGCGTTGTACAGACAACAAACATGTCTTATAGTCGGGAATGGAATCATCAGAAAGCTTGCATTGTCCGTGCCTCTAAGCTTGCTTGGCAAGTAGCCGAGTTGAATGCATTGAGCAAAGCTATCAATCTACCACATGCCCAAGAAATGGGCAACGCCCAACCAACAATTAAATTATAGGTAGGCGTGGTCACCATGTTTTGGGGTGATTCGAAGGAAAATCAAAGGGCAAACCACCACTTTGGGGGATCCCCTAAAAACAGGCACACCCAGGTAAGTCATGGATGGCCTAGTTCGAAGACTACAAACCTTGAACCTTGGCGCCTGATCTGGTGCCACTCTGTCTTGTCTTTCCATAACCAAACTCAAATCGTGCCCTTGCCTCATCTCTGGAAAGTCATATCGCGGAGAGGACAGCGCCCTGCGGACCGAAGAACTCAACCAGTTCCGTCAGAAAGGAACACAAATTTGGATGATAGACCGTGGCTAATCGTGGCTACACTAGAACGGCTTTGCCGAACAACGGAAGATATCAGCTGCTGAATTTTGGCTAGTCACACCTGTGCAAGTATGAGTCCTTGTATATTCATCCATAATATGTGCGAAGGGGAGGTTGGGTAATTAGTCTTTCAACGTGGATTACTGGAAACATTGTCCGTTGATCACATACAGAAGCCAGCCTTCTTAGCAAAGTGCCACAAACATCTATCCTCCTGCGGCGGATTCAAAAGGCTGGCTTTGTTCAAAAGGGCTCATGCTGCCCTGCACCCTTCACCAAGCATCTCTGCATAAAAATCATACTCATCATGTCACACTGGGCTGAGACATCTATGAAGCAGCACTGAAACATCATTGCAGCAAAACATGAGGTCGCATTAAGCTTGGCCTGTACCTTGCAAGCATGCTTGTGCCGTCGAAGCAAAATGGAAACCAACCATTAGATGAGTCCCCCGAAATGGTCGTGTTCCCTTGGGTGTCCCTCAGGTACCCTCAAAAATACACGCACAGCTCATACATCTTCATACCGTAAAGAGCCAAAGGGCCACTCGGAGGCGACATACCAGTCTGAGCTGAGGAAACCACTTCTCGATGTCAGTGTCGCTCTCGGCCATTGGCTCGTCCTCACAAAGTTTGCGTCCAACCGAAACTCAACCTCCATAGGCTGCTAACCTAAAGCTCAGCTCATCACTAAGCCTGATAGGTACAAAAACATCAGTTCATCAGGTCATCATGTAGCTGACTTTCACAATGTGTTGGCAACATGTTGTGGCGACGCAACCCTGTCCACTACACCAGTGTTGTTTCCATGTTTGCACGCAAGCCTGTGCGGGAACACCACCAACTCTGCGACGTAACATCATGCAATTAGCGTCCAGCAGGGCAGCGGGGAAAGTCTCAAACAGTTTGGAACATATCCAACTGCGGTTCTGCACCTTGTCCGTGCACTGCCAGCGCATGCAAGCGCTCGATTTTCCATTGTGCCAATGGTCCCGTTCCGAACCTGCTCCGAGCACGCTCCGCACCGCCGTCTGATGTAGCGACCGAGGTAGTTTGCACACACGCGGAAGAGCCAAACTCGTGCACAGGGTCCCGCTTGAATTCCCCAGTTCTCGCATCTTGCGGCTTTTCTTTAGCTTTTTCACGCGCGTATGTATTTCTCGAAGAAGCACAGCTCAAATTTTCCAGTGCTGCGCAAGTTCATGTCAAACTTGACTTGATTTCAAACGTGACGCTCTGAACATGCAACCACATGCGCACACACACAACAACGCAACCATCCTAGGACATGCAGACCCATCACAGCCATCCTCGATGATGGGCATGAAGCTCAGGGCGCCACAGTCCTTGAGACAAGTGCCCATGGACTTATTGGGCTGCACCTATCAAACCCTTCAGAATTTATCGCTCATTGACTGGGATAGTCCCCCTATAGAACCCCCTAGGTCACGTGCGGGACAAAGCAATCATCACGGCCACCCAAATGTGCTGCGCAGGCTAAGCCGATGGCCGATTGAAGCCTCGCATGGCTCGCACGCGACATGAAGGCGCAATCAACACGCTACCATCACAAACAATATCACCGAGCTAAAGGGAGATGATTCAATAATTGCGAACCTGCAGAGAAGAAGCCTATTCATTTTCGCAGCGGTCGGGATGCAACCATGAGTTCTCAGTCCTTGCCTGCGGTAGCGAGGTCGGGAGTTGGATGCCTTGAGAGTCTCCTCTCTGTGCCTGGCGTCAGAGATCAGTCATACTTCACAGCTGGTATTAAAGGGGTCTGCACAAAACTGGATAGAGAATCAAGAGGGCGTCGCACCCAGCTCTGGTTTGGACTGTGCCTTGCTTCCAG